AGAATAATCCAATTGAAAAATGGGCACAGGATATGAACAGACACTTCACCAAGGAAGACATTCAGATGGCCAACAAGCACATGAAGAAATGTTCAAGAATGCACATTTTTACAAGAGCAGGTTGTCACGTTTCTCCTGAGCGGCCAGCATATTTGAACTGTCAAACTTTTTGCAACTGAGCATTTTAACCACGGTGCCACCATTTAAAAAATATGAAAACATAATTTGTCTTTTTTGCACTTAGCTGTATTTACATAAAAATAACATTCTTCTCTGGTTCAGAATACTTCATAGGCAGTGAGTCCCTCAGATGCTTAAATTATGAAAGTCTTTACGAAACGTAAAAGCTGTAGGGGGGGTGGAAATTATCCTTGACCTAATTTGACACCACTCCTGTGTGTTGATCATGGACCTGGGACTTATTTTCTAACCTAGCAGATGGTGTATTCTGGCCAGAGAAGAAACACATGCAAGCCCAGCAACTCATTCCAGTCATAGTAGCATAAATACTCTGCCTTTCTGTTGCTTGCCAATCAGTAACAGAATATTGCCAATGGAGAAACTGGATCAACAGATTGACAGAAGAAAAATAAAATTGTTTAAAAGATTTTTCATCCTCTCATATGCCAGAGAATGTTTGAGGCTGGTTTCTATATGATGAGTTAAGTGCACGTGGTCGTATTTCAGACACTGGCTCATAGTCTATTTCCAAGGTTGTCATTTCCCTTCTCTTCCTCAAATTCTTATGTGAAAATGGTAGTTTGTACCAGCCTATTAAGCATATCTCTTTAAAAGCACATTTGTATAGCTGTTGCACAAAATTGTAAAAACTCTGAAACAAACTTATTCTAAGACATATGCATTTTTATGGAGAACAAAATAAATGCAAAATTCACATGTTTTAATAACAGATGTCTATGAGGAAAAGATGAGCAATCTGCTCCCATAAAATTTCCAGCTTCAGCAACCTGTGAGAGAGTTTGCTCTGAGTCAGTTCTGACTGGATAGCAATGAACAAAGGGGAATTGAGTTCCTTCAAAAAAAAAGTCTGAAACACTACTTTTGGAGAACTGCAAACTGTTCTCCAAGGCCAAGTCTTTCTAACAAAAATGTTATTTTATTACCATTATTAGGTCTCCTCCAATTTTAATTATTTACCTAAAGAATTTTGAATAAAAATATCACAATGAACTTGACTGGAAGTTATGTTTTGATAATTAATCTGGGAAATTTTGGGAAAATTCCACACAACAGAAGACACTTGTGATGAAAATCTCACTAGGCAGTTCTCTTGCATTTTTAAATGAATGACTCCCTACATACACTGAAGAATTTCATGCAGCCATTTAGTCATGGCTAAGGATCATTCAGTGGAAAATATAAGGGTCAAGTGACTTATGAAAACTTGTAAGCAAAATGATTGAGGAAATGTATATTCTGTCAAACTGATCAACTTAGTACAGATAGCAATGATTTAAATCTATAGATCATACATTAATTTTTTAGAACAGCTTTCAGGAACTTGAGACAACTCTGCACAGAATTTCTCATGGTCAAAAATGAGTAAATTAGAATGAGTTCTACTTATCTTCTCTAGTAATTTTCATCTTTTTTTTTTAAGGAATAAAGAAAGTAAAATCAGTAGAACACTTTAGATCAGTAACCTACCAACTGGATGGTTGAAGTAGAATGGCCTTGGCCTGACTTGGAATCCACTGCAAGATGGTGGGAATGCCCCACATGTCCATTAACCAATGAGGTATCCTGCTGGGTAAGTTCTACAGTTAGTGCTGTAACCAGAATACAACAGTTAGAGCCTTTGTCAATTCTGCGATTCGATTTATCACTTGCCCCCGGACCATGATGATGAAGGCACAAGGAATAACAGTGTTGTGATGAGTATTTGCTAGTATTTTTTTCATACCTATTTAGCCTTTTCTGAAACACCATCACAGTTGAAAAGCTTTAAGAAGTCAATTATGCTGCGTGAACTAACTTAGTCTCATGAAGACAAATACTGCATAAGACCATCATTGTAAAAATAGAAGGATAACTAGCAAAATGTGTATGGCGATCCAAGGAGGGTAGGGGTTGGAGCAGAAGGGTGAGGAAAGGTGGAGATGAAATCACAGAACTGCACAGTTTGGTGAATGGAGGGAGTGGTAAAAGAAATGAGGATGATCCAGTGGGGACCTGGAAAGACAAGGTAATGGTGGGTATTGTCCAGTGGGATTAATTTTATAAAACATAATGAACAGGAATGATTGTATGAAACATAATGCAAATGAAGAATAGTGTGAAACACAATGTATACAAATTTTTTAAGTAAACCAATATAAAACAAAAAAAATCAGCTTCAAAGATTATACATATTTTTAAAAGGTTTAACAAAGTATATTCAGTATTATCTATAAGATAGTAAAAATTATATTTACCTAAAAATTATACTGTTGTTGTTTACTATAGAGTTGGAACTGAAATATAGGTGACCCTCCGAAGGGTTTTCAGAGGCATTTAATCACACGAGAGGAAATGAGCTCAAAAATAATATCTGGTTTGTTGTTTGTTTTTTTTTACCATGGTTGTTAGGTGCCATTAAGTCAAATACGACTCATAGCGACCTGTTGAAGAAATATTTGAGCCCTCTTTTATCCTATGTAATCTTCAGACTTCCTTACACTTGGTAAGAATTTTACCATTAATACTCGTATAACACTTCCTAGATTTGAATTTTTATTATTTTATTTCTTTTTAACCATGTTTGTTATGTCTTTATTCATCTGTCAAATTTTTTTCATGGATTTTCTAATATTTTATCAATTGATATTGCATCTCACATTGTAAACACTAAAATAATATCTCTATATATTCATCAAGTCAACCACTGTAACAAAATATTTGCAGTCTTTTATTTTACATGTATCTCGAATTTTAAAAGTATGGTCTTAAAAACTCATTTGTGGTTTCCTTAAAACTAAAAGCATAATCTATGTTTTTGAATGCTCAAAATTTCATCAATTCCATCCAGGCTACGTATTTAATATTCCTGCATAGGCAAATGTCCTGCTTTTCTAACTTGGTTTCTCCACCAGAAGTTATAACCTATTGTGTATAAAATGAGAATATATTTTTTTTTATCAAGGGAGCTCTGGTAGACGAGTGGATAGGGAATTGAACTTTCAACCCAAAAGTACGCAATTCACAACCACCAGCTACTTCATGGGAGAAGGGTGTGTAATCTCCAATATTACTTACATCTTCTGAAAACCTGCTGAGGGGGCAGCTGTGAGTTGGTTCCAACTGTACGAAAAGAAGTTGTATTGAGCTGTTTGGCTCTTTGCTGGAGCCCTAGTGGTGTAATTGTTATTTATTGAGGTAAGAATTCATCTGTGTCTATTAAATTGCTAAACCTTATGGATAAGCACTCTAGTATAAGTTGTTGTTGATGTTATTAAGTGCCGTTGAGTCGTAGGCGACTCATAGTGACCCTGTGAACGAAAGCTCTCAACACTTGTGTGACTTTCATCCTTTCTCCAGGTTCATAGGGTTTCTGGAGGCAAGCTACTACGGAAATGGATGCCACTCGTGCTTCCAAGCTTGTTTTAATCGGGGAGCTCCACCAAACACTGTCCACCATGGGTAACCATTAAAGCATTTGACACCACATTTCCAATATTTTGGTAGATCTTAATTGAGCCTTGGGCCAAAGAACAACCCTACTGTGTCCAAACGGCTGTTGTACATAGGGTCGTTATGAGTCGCAGGCGACTCGACGGCACATAACAACAACACTATAAACATAGCAAAGAAAACCATAGCAACATAAAATATAGAAAAAATGTTAATACTTTTAGTATAAATACTAATATAACCACTTCCTAGATTTTAATTTTCATCATTTATTTTACCACATGCCTGTTACATCTTTATTCATCTAACTTTTTTTTTAATGTATGGAACACAACCTGAAGTAAATTTAGGAATAGTGCATTTTTTAAAAGTATTAACCTTTTAAGGTTTTTCCTTAACCTTAACCTTAAAAGGTTAATACTTAAAAAAAAAAAGTACTATTCCTATATTTACTTCAGGTTGTGTTTCATACATTAAAAAATAAAAAAAGTTAGATGAATAAAGATAGTCAACAGTCTTGGCACCAGAAGCCAGGAAATTAAAAGGCACATTGCCATGGGAAAGTCTGCTGTTAGGGACCTCTCCAAAGTACTGAAGAGCAATGGTGTCTCTCTGGAGACTAAAGTGC